AGCCATGACTCCCTTACATCTGAAGGAATGGGGAAGAGAATATAACTGCCATTTGTTTAGCACATATTGTTATGCTGCTTAATTTTATATTCTGTTTAACCCTTAGAACGAACTCATGAAGTAGGTGTTATCACCACATTTCACAGATGAGGAAACTGAGGCTCACAGAATTCCACAGGTAGTCAGTGATGGGGCTGTTTATGTTGCCCACGTCTCCCCAGCACTAAAACCCATGTTATTTTCCCTGTGTCCTTGATGCCTCTCTATTCAGGGCTAGGGGTATTGGTGAGGCGAGTCATTTGAGACATGGTTGGTGGTAATTCTGAGCCTACACTCTCTTTTTTTCCCTGAATTGCTTTGAAATTTATAACGTTCCTTGGTTTCTTCTGTTTTAATGATCTTTGCGCTAGGAAGAGGGTGATAATTCCATTCTGTAGCGTGCTGGTGGTCTTGGATGTAATGTGTAAATGAATAACTCTCATGAGATATCTTCCAAAAGAAAATATATGCATGGAATTAAATGTTTAATTATTTGTTGGACTTACTTATATTCCACATTAAATGTTAAGGCTATACTTAGAGGGATCTTCTCAGCCTCTTATGTCGGGCACCTGGAGATAATTGTCTTCACCAAATTCCAGCTCTGCTCCTCACTCATGTGGAATGCTGTCTGTTTCCTCATGTGAAAACAAAGGGAAGACGTATGTATTTTCTTGTCCTCTGTACGTAACCTTAGGTCTAAGTTAGGACTACAATCACTGCCAGGTGATAACATTTTTTCTTTCATATTGGGCATTATGGAGAGAGGAGAGTAATCTATCACTCATACGTTGTCTTCCAAATGACAGGACTATCGATACATAACAAGTCTCATCGGGTAACTCTGTTTCTTCCCTGGCTGTTGCATGCGACTTGGTCACAATCACTGAGCCATGTGATGACGTCTTAGCGCATCTCCATTAACTACCCTCCTTAGAGAACATTAGTGATGATGACAAGTGAAAGAAGCAGAGCCAGAGAGCGAAACTGTCTTCAATTCATGCTTTTCCTCTGCAACACCCTATCTCAGAAGCACCAAGTCTGGAAAGCTGCAAGAAGCTTCCTATGAGTAATAAGAGTGATGATGATAATAATAGCTGTAAATGAGCCAGGCATGGGACTAAGTTTTTATATAACTAACTTATACTCATAGCACTTACTAAGTTCCCATTTCTCCTCACCCTCTTTTTTTTCTTTATTAATAAGGAAAGTTTAGCATAATTAGGTCACTTGCCCAATGTTCAAATAGCCAATAAGGATGAGAACCAGAAATGCAGATCTTCATAACTTGAAATTTCACTCTGTAAATCTCAAACTCTATAAATCTCCAAACGATACTGCCCACAGGAGTACTGACCCAGCAGTCCAGTTTTACCCTATTTGTATAATGATTATAAATTAATATTTTTAGATATATTAGTGAATGCCATATATACATGTGCACATGTGTATATATATATATTTTATCATTTTACATAAGGTAACTAATCATGACAATAACAATTCTTCAAGATCTTTATCATTTTCCACTGGCAGGAACTAAGGTACGAAGAAGCTTCTAAACTCCTGCCATGTTTTCATAATTTATAAGGGGCAGAGCCAAGTTTGAAATACAGGTCTGTTTGAAACCAAATCTATTGCCCATCCTATGGTTCCTTACTGCCTTATAACAGATATATTAGTTAACCACACAGTGACTATTTAATGCCTACCATGCCAGGCAGCTTTTCAAATTTGCATAAGGTGAGCTAAGCTCCACGTTGCTACATGTGGTAAGCAAAATATGCCAGTTAAGATTATTTATTAGAATGGCCTCTAAGGATTTTTTGGTTTCTCACCTAACTGTTGAAC